AATCGGCAGCAGAGCAGAAACCTTCTTTCCCATGTCCTAGGAATTCTTCTAAAGTCTTTACCCAAATTAAGTCATTTATCCTTACAATAACCCCAGGAGGAAGATACTATCATTATGCTCATTTTACAGAGGGGGAAACAGTTTTCCCATCTGTAAAATGAAGTCACACAATGTTGGAGTCAGAATCTGAACTAACTTAGCTCTGCTCCAGGGACCATAAGTCTGTCTAGCCAGCCTCTCTCTGATGAGGAGACAGAGAGAACCTGAAGTAACGGGAGGGTCCCTGAGATAAAGCCAGAAGATCTGAGTTTCTGTCTTGGCTCTCCATCCTTCTGGCTCTTTAATCTCAGCAAATCACTTCACCTCCCTGTGGCTCAGCTTCCTTACCTGTTAAAATGGGAATAAGGGTCCTTGCTCTGCCAAACTCATCATCTGTTTATGAGGCCCAAGTGAGATGATGAGTTGTGCACACATGGCTATTTATGAGGAAGCACATGCATGTGAGGAGTTGTTTGCATTGCACCAGAGGTATTAAAATCTATCTCAATGTTCTTGAGTGCTTGATGGGTGCTCTGGTGGCCATTCAGCCTGGTGTGTGTCATTAAGACTGAGAAATGGGATAGCCACAGCTGGTCTTCTGTTCAGAAAGAAGTATGGAAATCTTGTCAACTGAGGGGCCTAGATTCTTGAATCTGAGAAGACTTGGTTGTTTCTAAATACCTGGTGGGCAATTTGAGAAGATGAAAATTATTCTGTGCAGCTCTAGGCCATAGCCAGGTGGCAAAGTTATTAGAGGTGGTAGATTTCAGCTTGGTCTCATCAAGGAAATGCCTTCTTAGGAGGTAATGAGCTCTTGTCAGTGGAGGGACTCAAGGCCTAGTTAGCTGGCCCTGTTGTCTGGGAGGTGGAGCTAGGTTTGATGACGGTTGATTGCTTTTCCTTCTCTGAGGTTCTGGGTCATTCCAACAGGTGCTCACCCTGTACCTCTGAAGCAGCCACCCTTTCTTAGTGCCTGCGCACACCAGAAAAGACTTATTATACTTTGGGTTTGTTTTTTTTTTTTTTGCTCTGTTGTGCCCTCTGTTCCATTTCCTTATCTGAGGAGAATTAGTTCCTGGTTCAGTCAAGGCTGACAAAGCAAAACCAGATTGTCTTGGCATTTGTAAAATGTAGATGTACTGGAATGAGAAACAGAATAGGAAAAATTTATGGCATGCCACACTGGCAGAATAATCTTCGTGTTAGAAAGCAAGGGCAGTACACACATTGGGTATCAACTAAATCTCTTGATCAACAGAGTCAGAAACAATGGTGTCCTGCTCAAAGACAACAGCCAATTTCACTGCTTTGAAAGTCGACCACTCTGAACGGCGGCAAGTATTTTCTCTCTTGCAGCAGACTCCTGAAAGCACTCACTATGCCTCTTCTGAGTCTCCAATCTCAGGGCTGCAACCCAGAATTTTTTCCATTCGGTTTAACAAATCCAGGTCTGTTCCAATTTCACCATGGACTGGTTAGAACCATTGTGAAGCCCTGGTTCAGAGGGAGAGGGGAAGGAGTAGCTAGCTCATGTGACAGTACTTTGGTTGTTGTTATGCATCTGTCTAAAGATTTTTCTGTTACATAATTGAGGTATTTTTTTTTTTTTCCCCTCCTAATTTTAGATCCTGGTGCCATCTGCCCTGCTTTTCATACATCACTAGCTCTGGACTGAAGTTAGACCTGGCTTGGAGTCCTGGTCCTGGGGCTTATTTTGTGAGACATTTTCTTATCTATAAAATGAGATCGCCTCACCCTGCACAGCTCCCAGGATGCTGTGAGAATCAGGTAAGAGAAGTGGTGAACTGGTCATGAAACATGTCCAGCACTGCGCAGCTGTACCTGGCTATTATCTGGCACCCGAGTCGGCTATCCCTGGAGCTAGGCGAGTAGTCGCATGTCTGCCCTGCACAAGTGAAGATCTCACAAGTGAGAAGTCTTTGGCAGACTCCCTGCTATGGGTGTCAGGGGCACAGTAGCAGCTTGTGACAGGCAATGCCAGACGGGCCTGTCACCTGCTCACACTGCCTCTTGGTCCCCTCGCCTCTGGTGAAATGTTAAGTGCAGCCAGCATGGGCTGGGTAACAAGACACTGTCAGGAGACTCCTGCACCAAGTCCTTTCTTAGCCTCCAGAGGGGTTAGTGCAGGTTGGAGACCACAGACCAGGGTGCCCGAGAGACAAAGGAACTGGGCAGCCCTGGCCACAAGTTGAGCCTGCCTTGAGTCACAATGTAGTGCAAGGTTTGGTCTGCAATGCTTTCCCTCTTCTTCTTGCATGTGAGGCTTGACTTGTTCAAGGTCACATTGAAGGGTGTGGCAGAGCTGGAACCTGCAGGGGCTTCTGGGTCTCTCCCTGCCTCACAGGCTCTGTTGTTAAGTGCCATGGAGTCATTTCTGACTCATAGCGACCCTGTATAGGCTTTCCAAGGAGCGACTGATAAGTTTGAACTGCTGACCATGTGGTTCAAACTGATCTTGCGGTCCAATGCTAATCCTATGGCACCACACCAGGACTCCAGTGAGGATCAAATAAGCGTGAACCCTTGGCTCCTGGATGCAAGATAGCTACTGACTAACGCTGTTACTGCACTGTATGGCTCTTGGTCCCTGCTGCCTGACTCCTGCTACCTGGGAAATGGAAGTATCTCTCAAGGGGCTTAGACCCAGGGCTGCAGATCTGAGGAGACAGTGGGACAAGACTCCTCAGGCCTCACTGGCCCAGCGAATCCTTCTAAGGGGAGGAATGCTGGACCCATGGCCTGTGGATGCCATTTGTTCCAGTATGACCAGGCAGTACCAGCCAGACGAGTCTCTGAAAGGCCTCTTCCCTAATCGCACCCCCGCAAGAAGGGACAGCTGTCTGCCTGCAGACAAGTAGCGAGGGTCTGGGTGTCCAATCCTGATCTGATGACGAACAGAGATACTCAGGAAACTTGTCCTGGACCTGGTCCTGCCCCAGATCTACTTGGATGCTGCGGGAGTCACTTCTTCTCTTTGGGTCTCAGTGGTGTTACCTACAAACTGGGAACAGCAATCCCTGTTCTACCTACTTCAGGTCTCTGATGTTGGGCTCCAGACTAGATCAGCTGGGTCTACACTGACAGGAAGTGAATGGACACTGAGAACTCTTAATGAGCATCGAGGTTATCCGCAGTGATGGTAGTCCGGGCTTTCATTCTCTAGGATAAACATTTGACATCAGGGCAGCCTGCAGCCTGGCCCCATGGTACTTACTCCTGGACTCCCAGCAGCTACAGCTTTTCCTAGTTTACTGCAGAGCCAGACCCAGAGCACGTGACCACCTCCCCTTCCCTCTAGTTCCCAGGTAGCAATGTATAGGAATAAGGCCATAGACTGCATACATTTTCCTTTAATAAAATTAAGCATGAAAATAAAATCTGACAAGATGTAAAAATGCTGCTGAAAGGGTCTTGGTACAAAAGGATTTTATTGTTACATAAACACAAAGGCCTAAGTGTCCTTCCTCTCAGGACTCAGGAGGGGTTCAGCCCAGGCTGCCCACCCCTCCCCCAGCCCTCTTGGCCTCACCCAGGAGTTGGGAGGGGGTGGTGCAATTTGAAGATAGAGGGGACAAAGGCCACAATGGTAAACTGAATTTGTACATCGTGAGATCCCCTTCCCTTGCGCAGCTGCCCAGCTCCTTTTGCTTCTCCCTGTGTCAGGCTCCAGGTTGTGTAGGACCAGTTTCTAAGGGGGCCTTGTTTCTTTGTGTCTGGATTGTCTCCACCGTGGGGATCATAAACCCTCTGAGAAACCTCAGGCTTAGGCGGAAGCTGAGATTCAGCCCAGGCAGCTGCAGAGGAGGTAGGGAGCCCCCTAGTGGCAGGCCCAGCCTCTCCAGGGTAAGAGACGGATTCTAATGAGACTGGCATGCAGCCACCAGGGACAGTGGTGCTTGGTTTGGGCGCAAACACCCAGGGCCTTTGCAATTGCAAAACCAAATTAAGAAATGAGCACACAGACTGACTGAGCGATCTGGTTTCTTCAGTTAAAAACAAGGCCATACAACAATGTGATCCATTAAGAAACACATGTGTTCTTGTGTGATTATGAGTTTGAGCACAGACAGGGACCCAACCCTGGCCCCACCTGGGGAAGAAGGTGCCAAGTGTCTTAGCACGAGGCCCCTGCCAAAGATGCCCCATTGAGCCAATCCAAACAGTCCTAGATCAGAAGGAGTGTCCTCCTACCCAAAGACCATCTCTACACGTCTATCCTAAATACTAAAAAAACTAGAAAAACCCAGAGTGTAAAAGCTCCAGAATGCCCTCCCCCACCCGCAGTACAGTCAGCCCTGCGTCACCTGCTGGCACAGCATGACGGCTATGCAAAGGAGATCCCCAGTGGGCACTTGGTGTGTGTGGCTTAGATGAGGACACATTCAGCCAAAGGAGCCCTGGAATGCAAAATGTGAAGTGTCTGTACAGCAGTGGCAGAAATACACATTGTGGACTCAAAAGTTCTGAGTTCAAGTCCAGACACTCCATATATAAGCAATAAAAGGGTTATTCACATATCCCCTTTGGGCCACAGGTCTTCTTTAAGAAAGAAAAAGTTATTTTTTTTACTCATGAAGTGCTTTCGGATCAAATGAGACAGATTTTTTAAACTAATATTTTTGCTTAAAAATGTAAGACAATTTAAATTCTGTTCTTTAATAAATCTGCTTTTGTTTTTAAATATGAACATTTTCCCCAAATATCTGTATAAATTAACTCTAGTAGATAGATGCACCATGTTTGACCTGGGGTTTAGGGCCCCTGCCTGTCACTAAGTCCCCAGTTTGTGAAGGCTCTCCAGGGCCAGGGCTAGGCTGGAGTCCTCCTAGGGCACTTTGGTAGGTGATCCACAAGCGGTCATCAGGGGTGACTGCTAGAGCTCATTCCACCCTCTGCTTCTCCTCCCGCCCCCCTCCATCTCCCTCCCACAGAAGACCTCATCAGTGTATGTAGATCTTGTCCGAGACAGCTGCGGGCAAGTGCGTCATGATCTGCATCCGCAGCCACCAGTAGTAGTCCATGGGGTGGTAGCGAGTGTAGGGGGTGGTGGCAGTCAGGGCGTGTGTGACGGCTTCGATGACCGGGGACGTGTCGGTAGAGCCGCTGCTGCAGTAGTTCTCCATCTTGGCGATCTTGTCGTCAAAGTACTTCCTGCCGTAGTCCCTGCGCACTACCTCGGGCAGCTCGTCCCACATCTTCTTGGCCATGGCTTGGATACTCTCAGGGGTGTAGAGACTGGTGCCTGCGATGAAGTTGCCGGGTTCTACCACGCTGACCTTTACGCCCAGTGGATGCATCTCATAGCGCAGGCAGTCAGAGAAGGCCTCCACCCCGAACTTGGTGATGCAGTACGGGGAGCGGGCTGGGTTGGCCATGCGGCCCAGCATGCTGCTGATGTTGACAACACGGCCTGTGGAGGGAGACAGCAAACACCTGTTCAGGTGGTGGTGTCTGAGCCATCTGGCCTCTGACACCTGTTTTGCTACCTGCCAGGCTGGGGCTCCGCTTTCTGAGCTGCCAGAGTCAGGGGGCTTCTTCTTTGGTGGTTATTATGAACTGAATTGTCTCGCCTGCAAACGTATCAGAATCCTGTTCTGCATTGAATTGTACCCCACAAAAATGTGTATTATAAATTCTAACGCCTCTTCCTATGGGTAAGGACTGGTAGGAGAATGGGTTGTGAGCTGGACTGCTAACCCAAAGGTCAGTAGTTCGAATCTACCAGTCACTCTTTGGGCCACAAAGTCTTCACTGACAAAAGGAAAAGTTATCTTTTTACTCATGAAGCTGCTTTTAGATCAAATGAGGCAGGTTTTTAAAAAACTAATATTTTAGCTTAAAAATGTAAGACAATTTACAAGATGACACTTTCTGCTGCCATAAAGCTTTGCAGCCTCAGAAACCCTACACAGGGTCACTATGAGTTGGAACCGACTTGATAGCATACAACCACCACCATACTTCTGGGTGTAATCCCATTTGGGACGAGGGGCTTCTGTGTTAATAAGCCTGTATTGGTGTAGGATATGTCTTAAGTGAATTGCTTGAGATATCCAAGTAGCAGTTTGGGGCCCAGAAGCAAGTCAACACAGATAGGGGAAGACACACAACACACAAGCATTGCCAAGGGACCAAGGAACAGAAGTGGAAAAGACACAAGGGCCTTCCCTTCCCCATAGCTAACAGAATACGTTTTCTCCTCAAGCCAATGCCCTGGATTCAGTCTCCTAGCCTCCTCCTACGTGGTGAGAAAATAAACGTGTTTGTGAAAGCCACCCACTTGTGTTATAGTAACGCTGAGGTCAGCAAAAAAAGAGGAGGCTCCTCAGTGAGCTGGGGTGACACAAGAGCTGCCAACAATGGGCTCAACACAGGAAAGACTGTGAGGACTAGGAGATGTTTTGTGTTGTACGAGGGGGCTTCAAAAAGTTAGTGAAACAATGGAATTAAAAGGTACATGGAGCTGATGAAAGGAAATGCAGATGGGTCACTTGTGATACAATAGTGAATAATTGTTATCAGGACTGACTGTGAGGGTTGGAAATGTAAAGGTAGACATTTTGTAGCAAAGAGGGGAGTGATTAACTTTTCAGTCTAGGAGCAGAGATCCCTGGGACCATCAATGGAGAAGAGCAGAGAACGGGACCCTACCCAGAGAAGCAGTGATGCCTGAGATGGAGGCAGAGACGATGACATGAAGAGACGGAGCGGTTGGGGTCTTTAGACCCAGAGAAGGAGAGGGCTGTGTGCTGATGACAGGGGGCAGGCATGCAGGGTACACCCTGTGGTTGGTTGATGATGCATGGAGGGGATTGTAATCATGAAAATGAAATGATATACGATAGGATGAATGTATAACTAATGTGATCCCATGTAAACTATCATATAATTCACAATAAAACATTAAAAAAAAAAAAGATATATGGAATTTTCTCAATAATTTTTTGAAGCCTCCTCATACGTAGAGTTGTACATAGGGTCACTATGATTCCAACCTAGGCACCTGACACCAATCACAATAGACAGTGAAGACAAATTCTAACCCTTGTGCCTGTGGATGTAATTCTATCTGGAAAGAAGATTTTCTATGTTACGTTCCCACCATTCATCTGTCAGTTTGTCGTACTGTGGTGGCTTGTGTGCTGCTGTGAAACTGGATACCAGCAGGGTCACCAGAGTGGTAAGGTTTCAGCAGAGCTTTCAGACTAAGACAGACTAGGAAAAAGGAGAGGGAGACTACTTCTGAATGTTTAGCCACTGAAAACCTTATGAGTAGCTGTGGACCATTGTCAGAGAGAATACCAGATGATGAAAACATTATAAATAGCTGCACAACACTGTCAGATATAGTGCTGGAAGATGAGTACCTCAGGTTGTAAGGCACTCAAATTCTGACTAGGGAAGAGCTATCTCCTTCGAGTATAGTCGACCATAATGATGTGAAGGAAGTAAAGCTTTTGGGACCTTCACTTGCTGATATGAGGCACAACTTACAATGAGGAGACACTGCTATAAACATCCCTTAATAATCTGAACAATGGAATGTATGAAGTATAGATCTAGGAAATTATAAATTTCTAAAGATGAAATAGAATGCATAAAGATCGACATCCTAGGCATTATTAGTGAGCTGAAAGGACTCCTGGTGCGGTGCTGCTGGGTCAGCACTGGACGGTAAACTACAACACTGCCAGTTCAAACCTACCAGTTACTCTCTGGAAACCCTCTATAGGGTCATTATGAGTCAGAACCAACTTGACACTTACCAACAGCCAACAACAACAGTGAGCTGAAATGAACTGGTATTGGCTGTTTTGAATCAGATATGGTTTACTATGCTGGGATCGACAAATTAAAGATGAATGGCATCGCATTCATTGCCAAAAAAGAATATCTCAAGATCTATTCTGACGTACAATACTGTCTGTGATAGGATAATATCCACACACTAAGGTCAGCAGTTCGAAACTACCAGCTGTTCTGCGGGAGAAAGATGAGGCTTTCTGCTCCTGTAAAGATTAACAGACTTGGAAACCCTGTGCAGGGTCGCTATGAGTCGGAACCGACTCCACAGCACATAACCAACCACGAGGAAGACCAATTAATATTACCATTATTAAAATTTATGCACCATCCACTAATGTCAACTTCTTGAGCATGACATTGATCAAACCTGCAATCATGATGCATTTATGATTATTGGTGATTGGAATGTGAAGGTTGAAAACAAAGAGGAAGGATCAGTCATTGGAAAATATGACCTTGGTGACAGAAACGATACCAGAGATCACATGATAGAATTTTGCAAGACCAATGACTTATTTATTGCAAATACCTTTTTAAAACAACATAAAAAATGACTATACACATGAACCTCACCAGATGGATTACACAGGAATCAAATTGACTACAACTGTGGGAATAGATGGTGGAAATGCTCAATATCATCAGCCAAAATAAGGTCATCAATTACTCATATGCAAGTTCAGGCTGAAGCTGAAGAAATGCAAAGAAATCCACAAGAGCTAAAATACAACCTTGCATATATCCCAGCTGAATTTAGAAACAATTTCAAGAACAGATTTGAGATATAAAACACTAATGGCCAAAAGAGTTGTGGGATGACATCAAGAACATCATACAGGAAATGCAAAAGGTCATTAAGAAGACAGGAAAGAAAAAAAAAGGCCAAAACAGATGTCAGAAGAGATTCTGAAACTTGTTCTTGAGCAACTGGAAGAAATGAGGAAGTCAAAGAACTGAACAGAAAATTTCAAAGGGCAGTTCAAGAAGACAAAGTCAAATATGAAAATGAAATTTGCAAAAATTTGGAGTTAGAAAACCAAAAGGAAAGAACACACTCAATACTTAAGCTGAAAGAATTGAAGAAAAAATTCAAGCCTCAACTTGTAATGTTGAAGGATTCCATGAGCAAAATATTGAATGATGCAGAAAGCACCAAAAGAAGATGAAAGGAATATAAGGAGTCCCTGTACCAAAAAGAAATGGTCGATGCTTAACCATATCAAGAGGTAGCTTATGGTCAAGAGCCATTGGTACTGAAGGAAGAAGTCCAAGGTGCAATGAAGGCATTTGTGAAAAATAAGGCTTCAGGAATTGACAGAATACAAATTGAAATCTTTCAATAAACTGATGCAGCACTGGAGGTAGTCACTCATCTACACCAAGAAAGTTTGGGGACAGCAACCTGGTCAACGATTGGAAATTATCAATAAATGTGCCCATTCCAAAGAGAGGTGACCCAATGGAATGTGGAAATAAACCAATATCATTAATATCACATGCAAGTAAAATTTTGCTGAAGACAATTAAAAAATGCTTACAACAGTACATCAACAGGGAACTGCCAGAAATTCAACCCAGATTCAGAAAAGGACGTGGAACGAGGAATATCATTGCTGATGTCAGACGGATATTGCTGAAAGTATAGAATAGCAGAATGATGTTTACTTGTGTTTACTGATTATGCAAAGGCTTTCAAGTGTGGAGATCATGTCAAACTATGGTTAATATTGCAGAGAACGGGTGTTCCAGAACACTTAATTGTGTTCAAGAGGAACGTGTATATATAAAAAAAAGCAGTTGTTAGAATAAGGGGATGCTGAATGGTTTAAAATCATGTAAGGTATGTGACAGGATTGTATCCTTTCACAACACTTAATCTATATGCTGAGCAAATAATCTGAGAAGCTAGATTATATGAAGAATGATGTGGCATCAAGATTGGAAGAAGACATTAACAACCTGCACTATGCAGATGATACAACCTTGCTTGCGGAAAGTGAAGGACTTAAAATTCTTACTGATGAAGACCAAAACTATAGCCTTCAGTATGGATTGCACCTCAATGTAAAGAAAACAAAAATCCTCACAACTGGGCCAATAAATAACATCATGGTAAGTGAAGAAAAGATTGAAGTTGTCCACAACTTCATTTTGCTTGGATCTTCAGTCAATACTCATGGAAGCAGCAGTCAACAAATCAAAAGATGCATTGCATGACACAAATCTGCTGCAAAAGACCTCTTTAAAGTGCTCAAGAGCAAAGGCATCAGTTTGAGGAGTAAGGTGAGTCTGACCCAAACCATAGTATTTTCAATTGCCTCATATGCATGTGAACGTTGGACAATGAATAAAGACATCCATAGAAGAATCGACATATTTGAATTATGGTGTCGGCTAAGAATATTGAAAGTACCATGGACAGATGGAAGACCAAACAAATCTCTGGTGGAAGAAGTGGTAATGCTAATAATGCTCCTGAGAAGCCAGGATGGCAAGACATCATCTCTCATCCTTTGGACATAACAGGCAGGACCAGTCCCTGGAGAAGGACATCATGCTTACTAAAGTGGAAGGTCAGTGAAAAAGAAGAAGCCCCTCCACCCCCGTCTCCCCAACGACATGAACTGACACAGTATCAGCAGCAATGGGCTCAAAAGTACCACCAATTAAGAGGATGCTGCAGGCCTGGGCAGCATTTCATTCTATTGTACATAAGGTTTCTAAGAGTTGGAACTGACTCGATGGCTCCTAACAATAACAGTGAATGTTATGTTAATGCTGCCTTATCAGTGTAGAGAGTGTTCTAAACCAATCACTTCTGAGTGACATTAGGATATTAGGAGCAGCAGAGACTCAGAGATAAGTAGGGAAGAGAGAAGCCTATTTGAGGATCACCATGGTACGTGCTGGGACTACTGAAGTTCATACCAAGATTTTCCCCTAGGGCCGTCAAAAAGAGATTCTGCCTCTGGAGCCAATCTCTTATAAACTGTGAGAAAGTAAATTTCTGCTTTTTAAAGGTACCCACTATTGGTATTTGTGTTGCAGCAGCAGTACGAAACTTAAGACGGTAGGTAGTCAGGCCGACTGTGGGCCCATACAGCTGTGTCAGCATCCCCAGTATTTTCCAGAGAAGGACAAGTGAGAGAGACGCAGGTTTTTGCACACACAATGCCCTGCTGAATGATAATAATTTGGAGTGAAAATGCATTGGGAGAATGTGGGAGGTGAGGTAGCTATGCTTTTGTGGAACTGAGCATTCATTATAGGCAATGCCCGATGCTGCTCAAAGAGAAAAACAGCCTTGGGAAGCTTAAAAGTACTAAGACGTACAGATCAGTAACACGGCTGAGTCCTGTATGGACTGATGGCAACAATAGGGTTGAGGTGGGAATGCAGAGGAAGGAACATACCAGAGGGGCTGGTAGTGGGGGCCTTGAAGCGGCTCTGAAAGAGTAAGGACCTATGGTGTTAGGATGAATCCCACAACTTGACGCCACCCTGGTGAGCCCAAGACAGCCAGCAAACAGGGAAGCAGACTGGGGCACTTACTGGGGTTCTGAACCTGTCTTCTGGACTACGACATGTGGGTGGCTGGAAGAGAGTGGTGACCTTTAAGGAGATGTTCTCCTGCAGCCCAGCCTGTGGGTGTTAGCAGCTGACCCTGGCTTCTCCCAACACTGGGGATGGTGGGGCAGACCTGGGAGCAGATCACCCAGGAAGGGGCATGCGAAGGAACTCACAGCACATCCTGAACACCTTGGGAGAACCCTTCCAGGAACCTCTAAGGTCTAGGTGATTGAAAGGTTGAGGTTTTCTTCTAAATTCCTCTAGCTACTCTCTCTCTCTCTGTGATCCTTGTTATGGTTGGGATTTGGGGATAGATCCTATGAGTTTTACCTTTTTTGCATAACTGCTATTTTAAAGGGAAAATCTACCCATGACTTCTTAGATGGTTTAACATTTGACTACCCAGTATGGTTTGGGTGTTTCGTTTTTCCAAATTTCTCATCTTCATTAAAAAAACCCAAAAACTTAATACCCCAATTGGCTCACTTTTTAAAACCATAGCATGATAACTCATGCAATGGATATCCCAAAATGTACTAAACCACACCCTTATTGATACAGTGAATGTGCACCAAAGCTTTGTGCACAAAGGCGGGTATTGCTCTAGATAAGGTCCCAGAAGTAGGATTGCAGCTGTAATCCTGAAGCCTTTTACCTTTTTCTTGCTCTTGTTGCTGTTTAGTGCCATCGAGTAGGTTCCAACTCACAGCAGCCCTATATAGGGTTCCAAGGAGCAGCTGGTGAGCTTGAACCTCCAACCTTGTAGTCCAGCACATTAACCTGCAGCACCAAAAATCACACATCCCTTTCTCACTGCCCAGCCATATTCACCAACATTCCCAGGCCCAGTGTGGCCCTTAGGTTCAGGAGCTCAGCCTGCTGGGCCATGCATGGTGGGGCTGCAGAGATGATTCTGCCACCTGAGCCAAACTGGAAGGGTGGAACAGGTCCAGAGGGCAGGACAGAGGTCCTTTTCCAACTCACCTTTGGCCCTTCGGATGAGTGGGAGAAAGAATTTTGTCGTCTGCACTGTTCCCCAGAGGTTCACTTCCGCCACCGCCTTGTAGGTCTCCATGCTGGTGAACTCCACCTCCCCAAAGGTGGATATGCCTGCGTTGTTCACCAGGCCCCACAGCCCTGGACAAGAGAGGACAGGCGGGAAATCATGACAGGGGCATGAACTCAAACATCAGCTTGCAGCCCATTCCCTTCCTCACTTTTGTCTCCTTTCCCCATGAGTTCCCAACTTCTTACCCACAGGACACTTCCTAGGGCCATCCAAGGATGATTGGAGATAGGCAGTCTAGAATACCCAGTCTTCATCTCACTGAGGAAGGCTAGTACTTCCGCCTGGATTGTTACCCAGGCCTGCTGCATTCCTCTAGCCACAGCCCTACCTTACCTCAAACACGCACTACCACTGTCCCCCACCCACTCTCCCCCTCCAACTGCCCTGCACCTACACCCATGACCGCTTTATTCATTCCTGCCTCTGTGTCTTTGCTTACATTCTCTCTCTTGCCAGAAGCCAAGCAACCTTAGGGGTCTTCCAGACCAACCCCCTCTGGAGGACCAGAGATGGAGCCCAGCTTCCAAAGTCACACAGCAAGTTGGGGTTCAACCAAAACTTGATTTCAGGCTAGGGGCCGTTCTTTTTCCACCCTGAGTCTCTCTTAACAATTGTACCTACCACTCTCTGATCTTCTATCTCTGAACCACAGCACTGTTTACTGGGTATCACATGTTAAGTCATGGTGCGGTAACCTGTTCACCAGTATTGCAACCCCTCTGGCCTATGAAGATAGAACTGCTCCTCATCCTTGTGGGGTCCCACATTACAGGGTCTGAGAAAACATACACTCTTACAGTATCCTTGGATTGACTGTTTCCTTCTAGCCTGGCCAAACTACCACGGGCTTTTGTAGAGAACGTTGGTGGTAGAAGTTACTCTGACATTCATTTAGTCTGATAACTAATTTTACATATCAGGAAACTGAAGCCCTGGGAGGAAAAGGCTAACTTAAGGTAACCTAATAATTCAGAGGCAGAGGGGAGTTGGAGGGAAGAGGCAAACAGGCGCAGGACCCTCACTGAGCTGGGTGTTTAGATGGAAGCACTGGTGGGTCAGCTAATGCTAGCGGCTCTTTATTGTGGAAATCCTCACGTCTCCCCATGGCTTTGAGCAGTCTCAGAGCAGTGCTTCCCCTCAATCCCTTGCCCTGCCTGTGGGAACCTTGGCCCTGCTTACTTTTAAGAGTTAATCATGGAAATGAGTTTGTGTAAATGACAGAGTAATTGGCCTCTAGCTGCTTTCCTTCCGTGTTACCCAAATTAAAGCTTCATCAACTGACCTCTGGTGACTTCTCCCTCAATTATGGAGAATTAAAGACATTTATTAGGGAAAGGAAATTGCTGGTTAACAAAGTGCTCATGAAGTGTGGCTCCCACCCCTGATAGTGACTGTCCTGAAGCTTCCCTCTCTCAAATCTCACCCATGACCTCACAGTGGTCACTAATGAGGAGATCAGAGTCATCCACTCCAGCCTCCCACAGATGCCGCCCTCACACTGAAGATGCCCCTAGGTCTCACCCACTCGCTTCCCAGGAAGAGCAGGAAGCCACTCTCCACTTTTCCAGGCTAATGCGTACCTCACCCTCCATCTTCTCAACCCTAACCCACCCATTATCCTCTTGCCTTCATGCAATGTCAACTTTTCCCGAGTGCCCCAGGCTCCTTCCTCTTAACACTGTACATGTCACTGTATACACAATTGCTCTCCAGGCATTCCCTGCGCATCTCATGGTGAACCCATGCTTCGTTGTGTTTTTAATGGTTGCTTTTTTAGAAATAGGTCACCAGGCTTTTCTTCTAAGCACCCCCAACCTTTCAGTTAGCAACCAACTGTTTAAAAATTTGCAACACCCAGAACTCCTCTGTACACTTTGTTAAGTGCCATTGAGTCGGTTCTGACTCAGTGATCCTGTGTAGGGTTTCCGAGAAGCAGCTGGTGAGCTTGAACTGCCAACCTTGCAGTCTAAACCGACCTTGTAGTCCAGCACATTAACACACAATGCCACACCAGGTAAGTGATGTCAAATAGGTTCTGCCTCAGGAACTTATCTGTGAGGGACACTGCTACTTGGCTGACAGTCTGCTGACTTGATGAACAGTAACTAGTGTGTGGAGACTGTAGCTCTCTGGAGTGCTCAGCCAACGTTCAGAAGAACTCACAACCACGCTCCTGAGGGTGACATAGCTTACCCGCGACAGCCCCAAACAACCCCCAACTCCATGGTTCCCATGTACCTCACAGGAGTTTGGCTTTCTCCTGACCCCAGTCTCCTAATGATCACTTCCACCTGAATGTCCAATAGGTCCCCAACTCACCCAAACTATCACAAACACATCAATTTCCCAGGCTACCCAAGCCAGCTCCTTCACTTTGTGAACAGTTTCACTTTCATCTTTGACTCCTGGCTCCCTCACTTCTCCCCTATGAGTCACCAAGCATGTTAAGATTACTGATAAAAATCAAAATGACAACTGCCCGGCCCTGAACTAAGCACTTTGCACTCATTGACTCACCTGATCTTTACAACCCACCTACGCTGTCCCATACCTAGGTGAAGTACCAGCTAACAAGTGGAAGGACAGGCAGAGGGCTGGGTATGTCTGAGAACGCAGCCCTCAGGCCCAGTCCCATGCTGTTGTTGTTGGTTCAGTCATTAGCGTCGGTCTTCCTTCCTGTTTCCACTAGCATTCCTTTGGGTCCTTGTGACCACTCCTGGTTACCTCTTTCTGGGTCTCTCTCCTCCCTCTATCTTTACCCAGTCCTCACCCCCACCCTGTAGAATTGCTCCCCATGGTTCACTCCATAGTGCAGCACTGAGACCTACTTTCCAGGCCTCTCCCTCCCTCCCCTCATGTATTTTGCCTTGTGTTTGAACAGCCTGCCATTACCCACTGATACTGCAGCCCCTTCTAACCTCTACTCAGCTCCCTGACTCTCAGCCAGAGAGCAACTTGTGTTGAAATTCTATACATACTGCTAGATGGCTCTTGGAGCACTTTCCCCATTACACAGATGGGCAAGCTGAGGCCCACAGAAGTGAAGGTACAAGCTCAAGGCCACATTTCTAGTAAGTGATCAAACCCACACCCAAACCCAACCCACTGCCACTGAGTCAATTTCAACTCATAGCAAGCCTGTCCAGAGGTGAAGCCCAGACAGAATCAATCCAGTCTTCTCATCCCCAGACTGAGGGTATCCACATGTCTTCTCTGCATAAGCCCCATCAATACTACAACTGCCCTTCACAAACCCTGCTCAGATGCCACCAAAGCATACTTGGCTCTTGTCCAACTGTAAACCCCTCTGGCTAAGTCAACTCCCTCTACTAAGTATACAGTAGGTACCTGCTCTATAAACATTGCTGACTGGTAAGTGATGGTGTTCAGATCAGACCATGTCCTCAGCTTGCGCATTGGCCCTCCTCCCTGGAATGGGAGGGGGAGAACTGATCACAAACTCCAGATGTCCAGTCCCTCAGAGTCTTGCTGGGGAGGAAAGGGGCTGGTGGCAGATGGCTTACCCACTTGAATCAGGCAATCCCTTCATCTCACCCCCTGTTGGTTGGCTCCCTCCAAGCAGGAGTTGGGGTGAAGGACATCAAACTGTCCATCAAAATGTGCCCCCCACAGCTCAAGGGAGGGGACTGGAATAACTCTTCTGGAAGTTTCCTGCTGGATGTGAGTCAGCAGTGTCCACACTTAGGAACAAGTAAGATAGTCAAGTTCTGGGAGGGCACCATCTGGAGTTCAAAGTCAGCATTGTCTGAGAAGAGTGAGCAATTTGTACTTTCTGGGAAAGACTGTCTTAGAAGTGTGTACGTATGTGTATTACATGCAACCACATACTTGACACAATTTTTTTTTTCTCACAAAACTAAAAATGTTTTTTAAATCTCTTTCCAAGAAATGCAACACTGGTTAACTAAGGTCATGGTGAATGGTTTATCAAACCCTCATCTGAATGCGTCATGTGGGGGGAAAATAGTGGTTGGGAAAGGGTTGTGCCTCAGGGGTGGTGTTCAGGGACCACCCTAGGTTAGGCTAACTGGCCAGTCCAGTACTGGAAACAGAGGTAGTGGTTCCAACCCTGTGGCAGGGGGCTAGGACCACAGCCCTAAGTAGCCTCATTCTCTCCTCAGGTCTATAGTGACTATTCCTTTCCATGAGCATTTTAAATCACCGCAAAACCCACAGGCTGTAATGAAGTGGCTTTATGGTGCTGACTGCAGCTGTTTTCCTGCCTAATAGTTTATGAAGGCAATATCCCAGCAACGTTAAGAAGGCGGGCAGTGGGAAGATTTACCACCAGGGCAGGGGCAAGCAGGCTGCACATTCTAAGCTGGTAATCATCCCAGTGGGACTCATCCTGCCTTTTCTTAATGGGACAGGGCCAGGGCTCTGTCTGTTAATTATTAATGGGGCAGACCCCTGGTTCCTCCTGTTAATTATTAAACAGATGTTTGGTGAGTTCAGGAACTCTCAGGCCTCTCCTCAGAGAATAGCCTTTTGCAGGGTGTACGGGTGGCAGTGGGCAGACAAGTTCACCCACTTGTGATGGGCTGACAACATGGAGCACAGACTTCTGAGAGGCCTGCTGGAGATGACCAGCGTTTCCGCTCTGGTCACCCACCTACTTCCCTCAGTACACCGTCAGCACATAGGAGAGACCCCATTCTGCAGGAAAGCAGAGCTGAAATGAAGCCCCAGGGCAGATTTCATAGATGAAAGAGTGGCTCAGACTTGCTTCTCCAGGATGCTGCCAGGTGGCCTGACTCCGGGGAGCACCATTACCACTATATGCTAAGTGAATGGCGCCCCCTGGAGTTGTATAGCAGAGCCCTGTCTCCAAGGTGCGCTCTGTGACTTAACTGAGAGGATGTCTTAGTTGGGAGTGCTTTCTCCAGCATTTTACTCTGTCAGATTCTGGCCCCCTAACTTTCTGTTCGTTAGCTCAGGGGTGGGGAACCTTTTTTATTGCCAAAATTTTAACATCATTTGTGGCCCATACAAACTGTCAAATTAAAAATTCGTCTGCCATTAACTCACCCCTCCTTGTGTAGCACTGTAGGATCAGTACTGGACTGTGAACCACAAGGTTAGCAGTTCAAACCTACCAGCTGCTCCTCAGAAACCCTATATAGGGTTGCTATGAATTAGGACCAACTCAACAGTACTTAACAACAATGTGATGACTAGAATTGAGGTTGCCTTGACAGGGTGAGACCAAATGATTTCAAGGGCCTTATGGATCAACCATCAACACATGGAAGCAGCAGTCAAGAAATCAGACAACGTATTGCATTGGGCAAATTTGCTGCACCAGACCTTTTTAAAGCGTTGAAGAGCAGAGATGTCAGCTTGAGGACTAAGGTGCGCCTGACCCAAGCCATAGTATTTTCAATAACCTCATATGGATGTGAAAGCTGGACAGTGAATAAGGAAGATCACAGAAGAATTGATGCTTTTGAGTTATGGTGTTGGAGGAGAATATTGAAAGTGCCGTGGACTGCCAAAAGAACCAATAGATCTGTTTTGGAAGAGGTACAACCAGAATGCTTCTTAGAGGCCAAGATGGCCAAACTTCGTCTCTCATACTTCGGACATATTGTCAGACGGAGCAGTCACTGGAGAAGGATATCATATTTGGTAAGGTGGAGGGTCAGAGAAAAAGAGGAAGACCCCACCAGTGAGAAGGATTGGCCAGGTGGCAGCATCGATGGACTCAAGCATGGTAACAGTAGTGAGGCTGCCCCAGGATCAGGCAGTGTTTTGTTCTATTGTGCATAGTGTCACTATGAGTCGGTACCGACTTGATGGCACCTAACAACAACAACAACATACAGCCTGCAAGCTGGACGTTCCCCACCCTGCTTTAGTCTCAGGAGTACTGTTCTCCAACCTCTCGGACAGTTTTTCCTTAGTCTTTTCCCCTCCTCTGATCCCCAGCCACTCACATTCCCAGGTGCCTCCTTGTACATGGCCACCTGACCTCCAGCTGGGGCCCTCCCCTAGGAAGTCCCATGGACACTTCAGCATCTCCTCAACATACCCCTCCAGCTGTGGGATCAAGATGGTCTGCTTAGAGATCTCTTTCCTCTCTCTTTCATCCTCACATTCATCAAACACCAAGTCCATCCAGTTCTACCTTCTCAATATGAGTATCCCTCAGATTGACTCCTTCCTCTTTCCCAAAGCCCACTGCCCTACTCCTGGCTCTTACACCTATGCACACCCCTTTAAGTCTACACTCCACATTAACCACCACAGTCCCCAGCATGAGATTCTACATTATTCCCTTGGGCCCCTCCAGTGACTGTTGTCTGGCACCCAAGGCCCTGGACATCTATCTGGTCCCTCATGCCCTCTCCAACCCCATTTACTGCCTTCACCTCCACCAGACATGAACTTCAACCAATACCAAACTACCTCTCATCCCTCAGCACACCCTGTGCAGCTTTTCCCTACTCAGAGCCTCTGTTCATGTTCTCCCCTCTACCAGAATGCTCAACTCATTCTGTCACAGTCTGCCCTAACTGACCCATTTGCCTTACCCCACCACCCCAAGACTCAGCTAAGTTCCTCTTTCTTGTGTGTCTCTGCTTCTCTTAGAACACTGGTCCATGATATTGAAATCAGCCAAGTCAATACCCCTACTGAACTGTGAGATCTCAGGGACAGGGATTGGTCCCCAGTAGCCAGCCCTGCACCTGGCCTAGAGCAGACAGTGATCATAGACTGAAATGATCTGAACCAGCTGATATGCCTTTATCACTTCTATAAATTCTGAAATCACCTTCTGGCTTTATTTTGTACAGGCATGTTGAATTCAGTCTATACCCTCCTATCCTATAAGAGTAAGAGTATAAACAACAAAGAAGGAGTTTTTCAGCCAGATTTAGCAAATGGAGGGTGGTGTTGAAGAAAGGGCCCCTTGGAATGGCCCCACACAACACCTCTGCTGCCCCAAGTACCCCCTCTACCTTCTTCAGGATTCTTCAAGCTTGAGTGGACAACTTCCACTGCTTCCTCCACCTCCTCACTTTTGCAGACGTTGAGCTGGACGGTTCTCAGTCGGTCACTCTTCAAGCTGTCCAGTTTCTGGACTCCACTGTCCCCCTTGTTCTAGGGAAGAAAAAGGAGCTGCTTCAATTGCCTCCTTTCCCATCCTGAGGCAGACTTGGGGATGAGGATCATGACAAGGCAGGGACATTGGTCCCCAGTCCCTGCCAAAGTCTCAGGCTTAATGTCAAATACAGGAGGTACTCTCCAGAAGTCCAATCAGATCTGCCCCACCCTGAGCACTGTTGGCATGGCAACCACCAAGCTAAATACCGTAGATTCAACCACGAAAAAGATGAAGACCTTGCTCACCAGGATCACATCTGGTAGATCATTTCTTTAAGCAGGAGTTACAAACTTTATGCCTGCCATGGCCACGCACATGGGTATAGAAACAGGAAGAGTGTGGACCCTGGAGAGATGAAACGTACACCTCACTAGTTATTGTCTAGGTGGGCATGAATGCCCAGCACTGATGGATGCTTAGATTTTTAAGTTAGTAACAGGGTTTCTGTGTGAAATCTCCTAACTTTTTAAGTGTTGGCAATGTGTTTATATTAAAAGAAAAACTGAAAAAAACAAAACACCGTATGGGCCTTCTGACCAATGGGCTGTTCATTTGCCCCACTCTGTTCTAAACCAAGGGTCCATTGGACTCCAAGGTTGGAAAAGCCAGAGACCAGGTTCTAATTCTCCTGTAACTAACCAGGCTCTGCACACTCAAGGGGGTCCCTTGATGTCTCGGCCCAGTTTTCTCAGCTGTAATAAAAGAAGGATATTATCACCTGTTCTACCTGTTCAGGTCAATAAAATGAGGACATCGTTTCAAAACAACAACAATTATTTAACTCTAATGTGCTCCCCAAATTCAGCTAGCCCAAACCAGTTGCTGTGGAGTTGATTCCAACTCACGGCAACCCATGTATGCCAGAATAGAAATGTACCCCACAGAGTTTTCAATGGCTGTGCGCTTTCAAAAGCAGATCACCAGATCTTTCTTCCAAGGCACCTCTGGTGGATCTGAACCACTAACCTTTAGGTTAACAGCCACCCAAAGACTCAGGTAATTAAACATCAGAAAAGTATCACTCATTTAACAAGCATTTCTTGGACCTCTATTATGACCCAGGCAATGTGCCAGGAACTAAAAACAAACATAAATTAACTCAGTGCCTGTTCACAGAGTTTAAGGAAGGAGACAGATGAGGAAGCAAACAATACAGTCAGTATTTGCTGCATGAAACTTGTGGCAGGTGGGAGGGAAGATAGAAGGCAGAGACAATGCCAGCCCAGGGCAAGGTGACCGATAGAGCTGAAGTTCTGCAGAAAGAACTAAGAGGCGGCGGCAGTAACTCATCTGTCACAGTGAGAGCAGAAGCAGAAGGAACCAGTGGGACTTGAGGCTGGAGAGGTGGGCAGAGAGCTGCTGGAGGACTGCAGTGAAAACACTGATTGAGTGCTTACTAGGTTGCTCATTGTGCCATGCAAGCACTTTCCATGCATTCTTTCACATCATGAAGCAGGTTGTATCATCATAGTTCATCTACCCTTTGACACGTTTGCACAGTAGGGATGAATGATAATTGGTGTGAAAACATTGTCAGTCATAATTGAAGTAACAGTGTCTTTTCTTTGCGGTACATGGAATAGTGATGCGTCCTGTAAGAGAACTGGAGCAGCTTTCAGCAGGTGATGTGATAGAAATGCCTACCTTCCAGTCCAGAGCTTGCCGGGGGCAAATATCTCGGCAAAGGCCATGAGTAGGAAGCACGGAGGATGGTCAGCACAGGTAAGGAGTGGAAAGTTACCTACATGTTAGGCTGAGCCCTAGCCCTAACCTAAAGGACTCAGATTCAGAGGTACACAGGAGAGTATGACCAAGACCATGGCACACGGGATCAAAGGGACTGATGATGAGAACCACTTTGGAGAGAAGACCCGGGGAGAACATGCACTTTATTCTGTGCAGCTCCAGGGTACAAAATCAGAGTAAAGAACTCAAGTTCAACTCAAGATGAAAGAAGACGTTCATAATTCAGAGATAGTATGGGCTTCCCAGGAAGAGTTCAGACAATGTCTGGGTGACTCCTGGTGGTGGTGGTGGTGGTGGTGGAGGAGGAGGTAGCTGGAGATGGGAAATGTGATACTGAGAAGATCCAGGCATTAGATGAGAAGTGAATCTCTCCTATTCCAACGTTCAGCTGTAATTGCACAGTTTGAGTTCCATCCAAAAAGCGCCTCCCCAGTGACCCTTTGGAAGTAGTGATGTGGCATGACCAGTGGTCCTCTGCCCAGGCCTGCACCAGGAATGCCAGCTATCCCCAGGGTCACCTCTGCACATAGCAGCCAGGCTTGCAGCTAAGTGAGTCTAAGGCAGGATTCTGAAATCCCCTGGCTGGGCCATCCCTCCAGACACCCCAGTAGGTATTGATCTCCTGTGTAGCAGTCAGACTTGGAGCATATGTTGCCAATCTCAGAAGCCCACTTAAGACTCTACCAAACGGAGCTCTCTGGATGCTGATCCTGCTTTCTTTCCCAGCTTATCTCCTCTTCCTCCACGAAGGTTCTGGGTTTCAGCACCCTCAAATTACCGAAGAGTATCTGGAAATGCTACTTCACACCAGTTTTCTCTACTTAGGAATTCCTGTTGGTCCTCTAGATGGCTTGGAGACTTCCCATCAAACCTTCCTGGTGTTCCTGGTGTAAGGCAATTTGTCTTTCTCTGAACCAAGATCTGCCTCACATCCTGTTCTCACCTCACACTCCTTCTACTCACTCACACAGCTCACTCACTTACTCACTTGCTCGCTCGCTCACTCACTCACTCACACAATTCACTCACTCATAAGGGCCACCTGCTGTTTCTCAAACATATCAGGTGCCACACTCCTTCCTGTAGCCTTTGCACTTGGCTATTCTCTTTCCCCAGATATCTGAAAGCCTTGCTCCCTCACCTCCTTTGGGTGGGGGATCGCCAATGTCACTTTCTCAATGAAGTCTTCCTCCTTTAAAGTGAATGCTTCCTTTACCACACTACCCTCTCCTCTTCCTTCCCTGCTTAATTTTTCTCCATCTCATCCCATGTAGAAGTAATTTACTTATTTATCTTAGCCTTTATCTCTTCCACCAGCATGCTGGTTCTACAAGGCCAACAATTTTTCACTGAACTGTTTCATGCTGCATCTCCAACAGAGAACAGTTCACCCAAAGTAGGTGCTCCATAAATATTTGGTAAATAAATGAATAAACAAAGTGGTAGGACAAATGCCTATCTGGGTGGATAGAAAAGAAATTGGAAAGTAATAAATGAAAATACTTAGTACAGCCCTTTAGAGATTATTTTTATAAAGGGGAGCAGAAAAAGGGGCTGTAAATGTCAGAGTGATGTAGTGTTTTGTATGTGTGTGTGTGTGTGCGCACACACGTGTACGGATGCATACACCAAAATGATCCAGTAGGGAGTGAAGACTTCATTATGTAAGAAGGTGGAGACTGGCCAAGTCCTTGAGTTGGCCAGAAGCAATGAGATCAAAAGCACAAGAGGAAGGGTTGACCATAAATAAGAGCAGGCAGAGTATTTAAATACAGATGTGCAGCTGGAATCCATCAAGTGATTTTACATCTCAGAACCAGGCTGGAAGACTAATCCTCCCTTTCAATTCCCATCGTCCTTCATCTATAGCCTCTGAAGTTTCTGACCATTTTCTGATTTGCATAACTAATAACCAAGGTACCTCATGGAAGTAGACACACATTCTTCAGAACTTTGACTCTAGCTTTTGCCCAGAAAAGGCAGACCATGACACTCCAGTAGACATAACCTGCCAGTGAACTGGTCTTTTTCTTCAAAATACCAGTCACTGGATCATAGAATCAATGTTGTTGGGGTGGACAGACCCAAGACCACTAAGTTCAACTCTCTAATAAGTAAGGGGAAACCCAGGTTCAGGGAGCAGAGATGTTTGGCCAATCCCAGAGTTGGCAGCCAATCTGGGACTAGAACCCAAGGCCCTGACTCCCTCTCTAAGGTTCTCTGCAACACTAGGCAATTTCTAGTCTCTGCCACCCCCCAGCACAGTAGCACATATGCTGAACAAATGGACGACAGACTTTAAAGGCACAAAGTGTTTTTGTGGCATCACATTTCTTGCTAAGACCTGCTGAGGTGAGTGTACATTTTGCAGCTAACCCAGCTCCAAGCATGTCACGGTGGTGGTGGTGTGCCATCAAGTCAGTTTCAACTCATAGCGACCCTGTATAGGGTTTCCTAGGCTGTAAATCTTTATAGGAGCAGAAAGCCTCATCTTTCTGTCTTCAAAATCCCTCCCTAAACAGATTCCTTCAGGCACTCATGCACTATCAAAGGGAGAAGATGTAGGTTCAGACTTTCAGGGAGCAATTTGACAGCTTCTAATAAAATCTAAAACCTGAATACCTTTCTACCTATCATTTTTTTTCTAAGACTCATTGATGAAGCATGCAAAAACCTACTTGTATGTGTAAGGCCATTCACAGTGGCTTCATTTATAATCACAAAAGCTGCAAATAACATGTACACATGCATTTCAATTTCCTTGGAGTGACTGGGATATAAAATAAATTTTTTTATATCATATACTTCTGTATGGAGTCCTGGTGTAGCGCTGTAGGATAAACACTCAACCACAAGGTCGATTTGAACTGCAAGGTTGTTGGATCAAACTTACCAGCTGCTCCTCAGAAACCCTATACAGGGTCGCTATGAGTCGGAATCGACTCAACAGCACAAAACAACAACATATTTCTGTATTGCTCAAATTTATTATAAATGTGTATTACTTTTATTCTTCATTTTAAATATTTTTCTGTTTTAAAATTTTATTAAAGTTCTATTTAAATGCTTTGTGTGTGCAACCATCACAATAACTTATTTCCAAAACTTTTTCATCATTTCAAATAGGAACACTATACCCATTTCCCCCATCTACCCAAGATCTTGATAATCACAAACCTACTTTCTGTCTCTAGCATTTGCCTATTCTAGATATTGCACATAGATGGCACCATATTTTTGTGACAGGCTT